TGCATACTTCCTCAGAGAATAAATTCCAACTAGCTCCTGGATGGCTGGCTATGAATCCATCAAACCAGATGTCAGCCTTCCCTTTCAGGTACATCTCTGCCACTCCCACTCTAAGCTCCTCTGGAACTTGATGTAACTGGAAATACTTTCTGGCCTTTCTTAGCCATTCTCGAGGACCTTCCCCACTAAAATGAGGAAAATCGATTTTAGGTAGCCTAGCACTCCCCTTCATTTCTCCCCTGGAATTTACACTAGTTTCTATTCCACTGGTCCCTGGTGTGTAGGTTTCATTCCCAAATTTCAAATCGCCCATTGATTCCTCCATTCCTTGATTCTTCTGATTGGCCTTCAGTTCAGTAGAAATTTGGGCCATGAATGCCACAATTTGCTCATATTTGTTGTTCATATCCAACACAGTATCTCCCATTGCTTCAAGCTTATTTTCTAATTTACCGGTAACAACCTTAAAGCTAGTACTCAAACCTGCTATCTCGAGATCTAGTTTCTTCAAATGTTCGTCAGTGACTTTCGACCTTGTATCCATTTTTCCAATTACCCAGTAGTATACGCCTGCTCTGATACCAATTTGTCACGACTGGGACTCCAACTCTGATTTCCTGTAGTCAATTCCAGCTGAATCCAGCTGAACCCAGCAATAATCTCACACAAGTAACAGAAATTGGGGGGGGATGATAAAAAAGAGAGAGAAGAGGTGAGGAATAAAGTGAATTGCAGGTTCAATCCACTACTAACTGAATTTTCATAACAAACTTCACCTATCCTGCTGAGTATATGCAAGCATATATATATACTCAGCTGAAGAAGAAGCGTTGTTCAACAGGGAATGGGAAAATAACGTTTTCTAATTATTACAACTTTAATTAAACTAACATAACCAAACGACACTGTTTTGCTCAGTATCCAGACGACGTNTGTATTTCAGTTTCTTCCTTCTCTTCTTCTTTTCCTTCTGGTTTTGCTGTTGGCCTTCTTCCTTTGCTTCTCCTACTCTTCTTGCCCCAGGTAGCTCCCACGTAACACCCTAATAGTGTGTTTCCAGGGCAGCCTAATATATAATATTCCCTCAGTTCAAAAGTCAGGCTGATTTTGACAATATGACATTAATATGCTTTTCTGTCTTAATCCATGGTTACTGTGATGGGTATATATTAATGTGATCCTTGTTAGGTAATTGTATATTACAAGTTTGGAATCATGGATCTGCTCTTCATCCTTGTAAATGTCCCCTATGTCGACGTGAGATCACCCTGTTGGTTCCCAGTGAGGCTTCATCAAGGCAGCGCCAGGATCCTGAAGTTGGTGAGGTTTTACAGAGGATAGAAAGATATAACCGTATATTTGGTGAATGTACAAATGGTCTTATGCAGGTATATTTGGCGTCTTAGTTATCACACTTTAAAGTTCCTGGTTCTTTGTGCCTTTGTCTTCAATTCCACCTCATTTTAGCTGAGTACAAAATTTTAAGCAGAGACTTGTTTCTTTTTTGTCATGCCTTTGAGCAATGAAACAGTGCTTTTGTTACTTTTTTTTTTTTTTGGAACTTTTGACTCCTGTGACTTTCAGTCTGGCGTGAGTTTTTATGTCCTAAATGTTTTATACTACCGTGTTCAATTTATTTTAAATCTTTGATTCTTTTCAGCAAAAAATTCACTGCTGCTAATATTAATAAGTTATAGGAAATTGTAATAAAAGATCTATGTAAAACTCAGCTTTCACCTAGGTCCCCAGGGGTGTTAATGAGCCCTTTCAAGCCAGACTTTATAGGGTCAAGGTCCGAATGATATAATTATATCATACTAGACTTGCCTTTCATTGTTAATGCAAATCCTTTTCATTTACTCTCACATCATTGAAGGATTTTGACTCCAGTTATGTAACCCAAAATCTGACCATGGCTTTTTAACATCATCTTGACACATTGCATCGATGAGGTGAAAATTATTGTATTTCCCAGAGTTGTGCAAGTTAGTGGTTGAATGGTTTAGGAATGATGATTGAGCTAAAGAATATCTTATTTTATGTTTAATATCGGGTTGGCATTTCTATTTCTTTTACTGCAATTATTCTTCTGATTGTAAATCATCTTCGAAAGAAAATGACGGGCGAGTAAGAGTAGTATGAGCTATGCATCATTTAGATTAGTATAGTAAAAGATGGCACTGCTCTGTTTTGTAGCGTAATATTTTGTAGCATTTTTTGGCTCTTGAAGACTTGAGAGTATTTTATACATGTTTAGATGTCCAATCTACTTCTTGGCCTTAATGTTCTCATCCTTTATGTCACGAAGTGCATGTCTTAGAAATTGTCACATTTCATTCTCATATGATTAATAACACAATATCCTTCTTGTTGGCAGAAAATGCAAGACCTTCCTTTTCTTCTCAAGAGATTGTTGCAAGATTTGATCAATCCACAAAGATCACTACCGCTTGTTATGCGGGCACGTATTTATCTGGCAGTTAAGTTGTCACTCACCAATATGCAACTATGACAGCATTTGTTATCACGTTTCATTTTTGACAGCCATACTCGCATTACATGTAGCAGCCATGTTATTTTATTTGGTAGTTATCATCTGTTAAGTGAAGGTTAATTAACATGAAAAACTTTAGAGAAACAAGGAAAAAGTAAACGTGTCTCTAAACTCAAGTATAGTAAACTTCAATATAAAGATTTGGTAAAAGTTCACCTCAAGAACTTCTATTTGACGCAGCTTTCTGGTTCATGAAAGTAGCTCAAATGAGAGGCCATAATGAGTATGCGCACGAAATTTTCAAGCATAACCCCTAAATTTTTACTGCAGGGCATTTCGAAGTTTCTCGTTTACATTAAGTCCTTGTTTGATCCACATTATTTTCAAAATACATTTTTTTCTGTTCTTTTCAACCACACATCCTTTAAT